GAGACAAGATTAGATTCCACATAGGGATGGGGACTGAGAGACCAGATGACAAGAAATGTCAGGGAGTTCTGAGTTCTTGTAGTAAATGATGAAAACAAGAGATACAAATATGATAAAAACAATACTGTTCTCCAAGGCAGAACCAACCAGATTCCCTCCTTTAGTATCAAGGCACTGATTCCCCTAGCTGCTAGGAGTACCTAGGAGGAGGTAAGGACCTGATTCTTCCAGTGATATTGCCCTTGGCTAGAGAAGTGTCCAAAGTCATGCTTCCCTCCCTAGGGACAACTCATATCCAAAAGCTGAGTACAATGGTTCATGCCTATAATTCCACCTACTCCAGAGGCAGAGATCAAGAGCATCGTGATCCAACAAGCCAGGTGTGATGGTGTGGACCGTTCATCCCAGCTATGTGGGAAGCATAGCTAGGAGGTCTGAGGTAGGTCCTGAGCAAATGAGTGAAATAAATAAAAATAAAGCAGAAAAGGTCTGGAGGTGTGGCTCAAGTGGCAGAGCACCTGTCTGGCAAGTGGGAGATCCTGAGTTCAAAATTTAGTATCACCAAAAATAAAAGCAATTTAAAATGGGGTACACAGGCCCAGCACCCCTTGACTCAATTCAGGAGATTTCTGAAGGGCTATATGAGTCTCAGAACCTCCTCCCCAAGTGCCCACTGCAGCTTCAGTGGCAGCTGCATCACAGTTCAACTATTCCTTCTATTCAGCCCCGCAGGTGTTTACTTACCCTTGCAGGTAGAGTTGTCACCAGTGGACCTCCTGCATGAATATCTTACCTCAGAGTCTCTTTCCTGGGGAACCTGGCTTATGACAGCTGCTAACAGAAGTGGCTCTAGGAAGCAAACTCCAAAATAGGATTCTGAAACGGGATCACCGACTACCAACCAGCAATAAGGGTAGCATGACTGGGGATAAGTGGAGTATTCATAGTCCCTGCTGTGACTGCAAAGGTTGAAACTTTTACCAAGGCGAAGTTAGGATGGAATATTGGTGGAGGGAATGAGGGCGATATCTTAGGCATCTGAGAGGTTTATAAAATGTGATAATTACATGGAATCAGATGGCAGGGGCTAGGATTTTACTGCATGAGAGAAATATAATAAGAGATGTGAAAATAATTGTCAATGTAAGGTGAACTGTGAACACTAGAGAACTTTCCTGGCATCACATAAACAGACTTGTCTTTGGGTTGGGTCATGGTTCAAGTGGTGGAGTGCCTACCTGGGAAGTGTGAGGCCCTGAGTTCAAACACCAGTACTGCAAAAAAAAGAGAGAGAGAGAGAGGAGGGAGAAGGAAGGAAGGAGAGAGAGAGAAGAGAGAGAGAAAGGAGAGAGAAAGAAGAAAGAAAAGAAAGAAAGAAAGAGAAAGAAGAAAAAGAAAGAAAGAAAAGAAATCTCTTGCCATCAGGGAGAAAAAGCAGCAGAGGGGTCAAACCCAGAACTTAATTAAAAGGGAAGTGGAATTCTGTGGAAATCGAATTCTCATGGCAAGTCCACTGTTGGTGAAGCATAGAGCCTTGACTGGGAAGGCTTAAGGTAGGGATATTTGGGTCAATGAGTTTAAAAATCTCAATTCTAGAGTCTCCTGAATGCTTTGGGCCTGCAGAGGTGGTCTGGCCTCTCTGCTCCACAGAGCAATCCACCTTACTCAAAGACAATCTGGAGACTTCTCTGCCTTGCACTGTCCCCTCTCTCCCTAGCCACCAGAAAGTAAGTACAGTTAAGTTTCCAAAGTAATCCACCCAGGGGAGTTTAAGGGAGAAAAGGGTTTAAACCCTCATAGAACTGTTGGAAGAAGCCACATATCCACAGAAGCAAGGAGAATATGTGTGGGACTAGGCCCTGAGGGTGCTGGATGGAGGGACACAGAATATAAACTATGTTAGGGTGGATACATTTGTCATGATACAGGATTGAGTACATTGTCACTCTAGGAGACACTTGCTAAGACACTGCCAGGTTCTCTTGGAAACTTGGAGAAAATGAAGGCACACATGTTGTGAAGTAGAAATGCCAGAACTTACATGGCACATGGTGGAAAAGAAGAGGAAATCTGGATAATTGATCAGGGTCCAAAGAGAGAAATAGTGGAAAATAAGGGACAGCAGAACTGGGAAGTTGAGAACTGGCCTATGGGAGTGGACATAAAGTGTAAATAGCTATGTTCACATGTTAATGACCTCCAGAGAACATCCACCATGGAAGAAGACTAAACACCCCAACAGAGTTATCAAACTGATGAGCTCAGTCAGTCATTTCCCCCCTTGCCATGAGTGGCCCATGAACAGAGTAGGTATGATTGTAGGAATGGATGCATGAGCCCAACAGAATGCTCCCCCACCCCCTGCCACACACATACACCAAGGCTGACCTACTTGCTGAATGTAAAATGCTAGCCAGAGACCAAGGCTATATCCCACATGCTGGTGCTCAGTGATACCCACAAACACTTCATGGTAAGTCAGTTACATCAGAATACTTCCATCTGGAAGGATCCATGATCCATCGTGACTGGAATTGATATCAGTTTTCCTTTCCTGACTACAGGTATTCAGCATCACTGTCAAAGGACTTAGAACCTGAGCATACTTCATGAGACAAAGCACACACTTTAGGAACAAAAGAGGTACAGAAGTGGGCATTTGACATGGAATCAAAGGTATAGGGGTGGGCGTTAGGCCAAGAGATCTCCCAGTCTGATCAAATACTGCACCACCCAGAAGATCCTAGCTTTCCTAATAGCTAGAACAATGAGATCTCTTTGGAGATACTATTGACAAGCAGTTTTGAGGTAATATCCCATGAGGATGGGGTGCCATCCTCCAGAATGCAGTTTTTACTGTTAGCCAGGCAAAGTTAGGGAGACCCTATCTCAAAACAAATAAACAAACAAACAAACCAAAAAGGGCTGGGGATGTGGCTCAAGTGGTAAAGCTCTTGCCTAGCATGTAAGGCCTCAGGTTTAATCCCCAGTACCACAAAAATAAAACAACGAAAACCTCCCACTAATTCATGGACCTCACAATACATTATTTCTGGTTCAGGTGGGCTGTGAGTAATTAAAGTTCTACAGCAACACTCACTTATCCCTGATAGGAGTTGATTTCTCTCTCACATGAATGACTCTTGGAAGGTCATTTGGAGTGGCAATTGTGCTCCCTGAGGTCCTCAGGGACCCAAGTTCTTTGCTGCTCTTCATTCTAGGACATGGCCTTTGTCTTCGTGGTCTAGTACGGTGGGTAGAATTCCACCCATCACATCTGTGTTCGGGCAGCAAGATGAAAGAAAGAACACAAAAGAACTGGGCAAATGGCGCACATTATCTGATTAAGGTAGCCCCTCAAAGCTGCCACAGGAGACCCCCCACTTACATTCTACTGTCTAGAACATAGTCAGGTGTCCACAATTTAACATAAGAAAAACTGACAAAAATATACTGTATGCAACTCTATGCTCAGCTAAAATTTTGGATGTTTACTACTACAGGAAGGAAGTACTAGAGACAGCCAAGTCTCTGCCAAAATTTATGAATCAATAACTCTCTAATCCCTAGCCAGCTCTGGGACACTAGTGCATTTATGATTTGGTTAGAGAAGATTTGCCCTAACTTCATCCTAAGGACGTCACATTTTGGCTAAAGATTGCAACTGTTTCTGTGCCCTCTTAGAGAAAGTGAAATAGCCCTAGATACAACACAATGTGCACAATATTCCTTCCCTCAGCTCTGCTCGGGTCATCCTAAAAGATGCTCTCCGTGGGCACTCATTTTGCCAAGCAATTTTGAGTGAAAAATAAATATTACAATTGAAATGTATGAAATTCTTGGGACAAGCATTATAAGCCCTAGCTGGGCACCAGTGGTTACACTTGTAATCCTAGCTACTTGGGAGGATTATGATTCCAGGTCTGCCCAGGCAAAAAGTTTGCAAGACTCCATCGTAATGGAAAAAAGTTGGGTGTGGTGGCCCAGCGATGGCAGGAAGTCCCAGACAACTTAGGCAAAAAGTGAGACCCTATCTCCAAATAACCAGACCAAAAAGGACTGGAGGAGTGGCTCAAACCCTTAGTTCAAACTCCAGTACCATCAAAACTAAAATTAAATTTAAAGCCCTGTTCATCTCCGCCACATTCCTCTTTCTTGAACTGCCAGAAAAAAAATGCTAAAAAGAACAATTAAGTTGTACTCACTTGCTAAATATTTGGTCCCACTGGAGACTCAATCGAAATGTAGATCTTCTTGTCAACTGTTATTTAAAAAGCTACAGAATTCAACAGAAAAGTTTTCTGATGTGAAATCTGCAGAGTGCCCTGGAAATAATACTAAGTACTATACAACTCTAAGGGGTGTGGTGCACGTTATTTTCATCTGAATGACAACACCTTGGTGCAACACTTGGGAACTAGTCTGTTTTTGCAGAAAGCTGTTTTTTTTTTTTTCAGTTGTAGGGTTTGAATTCAGGGCTTCATGCCTGCTCGGTGGGTACTCTGCTACTCTGCTAGCCCCAGAAAGTTGTTTCTAACCATAGTCAAGAGAGTTTGACTTAATCTCATCCATCAGTGGCTATCAAAATTATATAAAATTTATTTGGACTAATTTTAGATGTTTCAAGATTCTACTGTATTTCCGTAGATTTGTACATTCTGGACATTCCCTGTCAGTGTCCCTAATAACGTGGTCTTTTGTGTCTGGCTTCTTTTACTGAGCATAATGTTTTTAAGGGGCATGTGTAGCATGTATCAGTCCTTCATTTCTTTTTCTGATTGACAAAGTCTGCTACATGTATATGCCACATTTTGTGGATCTATTTATCCATTAAGAGACATCTGGGGTGTTTTCAAGTTGACAATTATGAACAATTCTGCTGTCAGTATTTTTGTACAAGATTTTTGTATTGCCAGTCAACACACTACTTTTAACCACACAAGGCAAAAAAGTCAAAAGAGGACAACTCTTATGATGATAACAAAATTTGTTTGGAATAATTTTAGATGTATTAAGATTACACATCTCCATATGCAAAATCACCAAGGTTTGTCATGACAAGGACTGGTGTCTTTACTCAATTGCAGGATTAAGAAATCCTTGAGGCTGGACATTCTCTAAGATCCCTTCTTATACTAAGTTAGCACTAATTTCTATTGCATGTCCTTGAATAGAAAAGAATACAAAGACCAAGTTGCAGACATTCCCTGGTTTGGGGAAATGATCAAGAAACATTACTGAGCCCTTTGCAAGCAGCACTACAACTGGGGACATGACGGGTCCTCAGAAAGAAGTTATGTGGAGCAGGCTTGCCAACCTGTCCCAGTGCACCCATGTTGGTATGAAGTACTTGGTCCCCTCACCACTTCTCAACTGTGTTTCATGTGTTCTAGCTACCACATCTTCCTCTATATGGGCAGCTTTCTATGTACCCTCATGCAGACCCTCACTGCTAACTCTGTCCTGATAACCATCTTTACTCTACCTCCAAGACTATGGATTGAACTTGAGCACAGGATTGCATGCTGAGCTAATGACCCTCTGGACTTGGACCCTCTGCTATGTGCTCTCAGATGGTGCAAGTGAATGTATGTGAGGTTGAAGGGGTCAAAATGAGTTAATTACGTATTCATCAGCATAGTTCTCTAATGATCAAAACTCTTGGGGACCTCAACTTATTCCCGAAGCTCACTCATCAGCTATCATGATTGTTCATAACATAGTTTATTCACTGAATTGATCTGATAGGAGAACATTTGGAGGCACAGGAAGCACATGCCTAAACATGTGACCCATTCAAATCATCGAGAAAAAGATCCAAGAGGAGGTTTAACTGATACTTCTCTTTCTCCTCCTGTTATTATTGTCATTATTATTATCATCATTATTTTGCTTTGCATTTAGAACAATCTTACTTAGGAATTTTGGATTTAGTCTCACTGAAATTCAGTGAGTTTTCCTGGATGCCAGCACAAGAGACAAACCCAGAAGGCTGAATCACAGTTTACTGCTGGGGGTTCCTGCCAACCTTTGCCATTCTTTCAGCGGAGGGTTTCCATGGGCAGCCAGCTTTTTCAGGTAGTTGCTGGGCTCCAGTTGGGGAATATCAGGATTCTGCCTGTAATACTTCTGCAACTTTTCTAGAATAGTGGACAACCCAACTGTGGATGCATAGAACATGGGCCCACCCCTGTACCTTGGCCACCCATACCCATGCAAGTAAATGACGTCAATGTGCTCTGGGCTGGCAGCTATCCCTTCTCCCAAGATACGGAATGCTTCATTGATTAGTGCATACAAGCAGCGCTCCAGGATCTCATCCTGGCTAATGACACGTGGTTTAATGTGATAGGTTTCTCTGTACTGTGACAGGAACTTGGAAAGCCAGGGATCAGGCTTGTGAATCCTACCCAATGGCTTGTCATATTGATACCAGCCCTTCCCTGTCTTCTGACCAAATCGTCCTGATTCACAAAGGATATCAGGAATTGGGCAATATCTTATATTGCCCCTCTTTCGGGCAGGAGTTCCTGGAGGCAATGCAGGTCCAGTAAGACCTTGACCCTTGCGACCTTTCCAACCGACATCCAACCCAGCAAGGTCAGACACTCTAAAGGGCCCCATTTTAAAACCAAACTCCTCCAGCACCCTATCTATGTCCTCTGGCCTACTTCCTTCCTCTAACAAGAAGTATGTCTGGTTGTAATATGGACTCAACATCCGATTCCCAGCAAATCCGTAACAGTTGCCTACAACCACCCCAATCTTCTCAATCTTTTTGGATATGTTCATAACAGTGCCAATGGTAGTTGGGGAAGAGAATCGACTGGGAATAACCTCCAGCAGCCTCATGACATGAGCTGGTGAGAAGAAGTGGGTGCCAATCACCAGCTGAGGACGATCAGTGGAAGAAGCAATCTCATCTACATCCAGGGCTGAAGTATTGGTGCATAAAAAAGCTTCTGGCTTGCACACGGCTGACAGTTCGGCAAAGACCTGCTTCTTCAGGTTCATATCCTCAAATACGGCTTCAACAACTAAGTCTACACCAGTAAGCTCCTTTGTAGAGGAAGTGAAACTGAGGTTTGGTTGTGACCAAGCTTGGCCACTCTGCTGCATTTTGGATGCTTCCTTCTCCAAGACAGAAGTTATTACCTTCTGTGCAGCTTCTAGCTGCTTTGGGTCTGATTCCACAGCAATCACAGGGATCCCAGCCCTTACAAAAGAGATGGCAATGCCACGGCCCATTGTGCCCAAGCCTGTGGGTAAAATGAAGGAGAAAAAGGATTCAATGATACCAGGAACTGCAAAATCACTCCCTGGATGGAGGTTTCTACAACAACGTGTCATTTAAAATGTTATTTAATGTACACAAATGGATGTCATAGTATTCCCGAGGGCCTATGGGAGCAAGGGAAGGCTGTGTGACAAAGTTATAGTTGTTTGACCTAAGAGACATGAAAAGATCCTGGGACCAGAAACACAAGAGAATTCATTTCCAGTATCTAGCTACAAACAAGAAGGACAGGCAACACTGTGAAATGTGATCTAAATAATTGCTGTTGGGAAATCCTGGAGTGAGATTCATATATGGAAGAGGTAAGAATGAGTTAAAACAGTGTCAACTGTCTGTAGTCATACTACTTGAGTTTAACTCACTGTTGAAGAACTCAGCTTCTCTAGTCTTCACACATAAAATGAAGAACTCATGGACTTGGGTGAGAATTAACGGAGCTAACACAGCAATATGTTCAGCACAGAAGTTGACACCTGATGGTGCTTGACACCTGGCCACCTGTAGATGTGGAGAGTCCAGGAACTCCCCCATGTGCTTACCAAGAACTCCAACCAAGGAGATGGGTCTTGCTGAGGCTGTTTTCCAAGATGCCCCAGATGGAGTTGACCACTTGTTTGCATTTCTTTCAGCAAAGAAAGCATACTGCAGGGCTCTAGCCTGCCCTGATTCCTGAAGGTACTTAAAGAGCTCTGCCTCCTTCTTGATGCCCACTTCATAGGGATGCTTCACGGAGGCCTGGACTGCACGGATGCAAGTCTCCGGGGCAATGTAGCCAGGGTACTGCTTCCGCACCTTGGCGAAGACTTCACTGAAAATGGCGTCCATGTTGGGCACGTTTGGAACTGTCTTGTTCATGATTCTGCGGGATTCTAGAGGTTGATCTGGAAGGAATAAGAAAGATCAGAGCTTTGAAGGTGTTACTTAAACCAAGGGCACAGTATTATACAACAATAATAATGAAAACATTAATAACCGGTTCAAATTCAAAATACCAAACTAAATACTATTCATTAAGATATTTTATGGAACACTAATATCAAAATCTCAGATATCTTTGTAACTTAGTCCTAAGAGACACAATTTAAGAGAATCAAAGCAATTGTAGTTTCCTAATTCAGGCAGAAAAGTTGAATTCTCCTTTTACTCCAAGGCTGACAATTTCATAATAGATTAAATATTAACCTATCAATTAGTCTAGAGAAAACATTTTTGAGGTAATATTTTAATTCAAAATATCTTAACTCCATTCCTAATAGTAAAACCTTCAATATACTTAGAAAATAATAGTATGATATTGATGGAAAAGTATACATATCAATGGTGATTTGTTACAATAGCAATAGAAAAGTAGTGCAACTTGTGCATCAAATATTTAATAAAGAACTTGAATCCAAAATATATAGTCTTAAAATTCAATACTAAGAAGGCAACCCAAGTTCTCAAAGGATAAAAACTTGAACAGATATTTCACCAGAGGACATAATAATGGCTACTGAGTGTATGAAGGGAAAAAAAAACCTCTCTAGATCCTTAGAAGGGAAATGCAAATTAAGACCAAATGCAAATTAAGTGAGAGTGTGAATGTGCTCCACACCCTTATTTCTGAGATTGGGTTACAAAAAGACTCTACTCTAAGGGTGGGCCCTGAGCATGACTATTTTTAAAACTTCAACAGGTGATTCTGAGCTATAGCCTCTGAGAGCTCCAAGAGCAGAGTTATGTCAGTCTGAGTGCTACATCTCAAGGATACCTGCAGTTCTTGGCAAGTTTGTCCTAGACTAGGCATTGAAAAGAAGAAGGAAAAAATGAGAGAACAAAACAAAAACCAAAACAAAACAAAAGCCTGCGCAACTGTATACAGTAATTATTTCTCATCTGTATAACGTTGTTATCCGAGGAACCTACAGAACTTCTGACTGAATAGGTCTTCTGGGAGCTAGCCAAGGCACTCATCCAGACCAGTCCTGGGGCCAAACAAAGCACATCCACCAGCCAGGCTGGACCAGGGCAATCACAGACAGTTTTCCCTGCTCCATTTCCTCTCCTCTTTCCTATGGCTGTAATGAAGGATGCTACAATCTTTCACCTTTGGTTTATTAGTACAAACCAGATTCAGAGTGTGTACTCTTTGGGCCTCCAGGGACAGTTGTTTGAAATACTTTCAAACAACCTGGTAGTCTTAAAGTCATTCTGGCCAGGGTTGAGCAAAATGCTTCTTTTTAGGCACTTTATATATATATATATATATCTATTTTGTAATACTGGGGTTTGAACTCAGGGCCTATACCTTCAGCCACTCCACCAGCCCCTTTTTATGATTTTTTTTTTTTTTTTAAGATAGGGTCTCACAAACTATTTGCCCAGACTGGCTTTGAACCATAATCCTCCTGATCTCTGCCTCCTAAATAGCTAGGATTACAGGTGTGTGCCACTGGCACCCAGCTAGCACTTTGTGTTATTTAACTTTGTTCTCCATTGTTGTATTTTACTAAGTCATTATAAAGTTAGAACACTGTTTAAAATAAAAAATAAGGTCCCCAGAGGTTCCTTCACAGTAAGAGAGGAAGGTATTGGCAGGTCAGCACTAGCTGCCCAGGAAAATGGGAGGAAAGAAACTTCTCAGTGATTCAAGTGGGCTTAGAAATGACTTCTTCCATGGCCCACTCACATTGATTTTGCCTGAATTCTGGGAGGTATTCTAAGACAGAAGCATATTCTGGTTTTGATAAAGCAAGAGAATCACACTTCTGAAGGAAGAAAAGAGGGGATTATTTGCCAGGCTCCCTTCTGCTAACCACAGGAGAGAGAGAGACTGTCCTCTGCCTGGCTAAAAAGAGACTCAACATACAGATCACAGGAATGACTTTCTCAGGCACAGAGGGCTGTCTCCTCCCTAACTCTGAGAGGCAGTGTGCTGTGTCCATGCTAGAGGCTCTGTAGAGGACAGAGGGAACAGCTGCACAGCCACAGGCTTCAGGGAGGTCACCCACAGACGTGTGCAGCACATCAAGAGGAAGCTCAACTTAGATCTGGCGTAGGCCTCCTTCATGAGACAGGTCATCTGCTCTTTGGAAACATAGTCATGTAAATGTTCACAGAGAGTAAAAATAAATTATAAAGAGCAAAGATAAAATGAAAGGAAGACCAAAGAAAGCACTACAACGTTTTAAAAGCCACAGAGTCCAAATGAACAGACCAAGGTCTTCGGGAGAATGAGAATGGTTAACAATGGCTAACACAGCCCAGCACAGCCACAACAACAGGGCCAGAAGTTATTACGGAAGTGAAAACTGGTTTAATGTGCATGCCTATAATCCTAGCATTCAGGAGGCTGAGGCAGGAAGATTGAGAGTTCAAAGCCAGCCTAGGCTCAAAAACAAAAACAAACAAAAAACAAACAAAACAAAAACAAAAACAAACAAAAAATCCAAAACCAACCACCAAAACAAAAATCCAGAGCTTCAGCTTCTTGAGTTAAGGGTCCCATTTGTATGTTCTTTGGGCCCATCCAGGCTGGAAGGGTGGGTAGATAACCTGTAAGTTCTCAATCTGTGAATTATAGTCCCTTTCAGCTTCATGCTAGGAACATGCACACGGGAACTAGAGTCTTTAATTAGTTCTGGAATAAGCAGGCTGCTAGACACATGTAAGTGGAAATAAATGATTATTTTACAGAACCCCTCTTTTTTTCTTTTTTTTTTGGAGGTACTGGGGTTTGAACTCAGGGCCTCATGCTTGCTAGTGCCCTACCACTTGAGTCACTTCACCAGTCCTTTTTTGTGTTGAGTATTTTCTAGATATGGTCTCACAAACTATTTTCCCAGGGCAGGCTTTGAACTGCTGTCCTCCTGATCTTTGCCCACTGAGTATCTAGGCTTACAGGCAGGAGCTACCAGCACACATTATAGGACCTTCTCCTCACCACTGGCCCAGGAATTCTGCACTGCTCTGCTGTATCTGCTGTACTGTGATATAATAGGAAAATTAAGATGTATAGAGCTAATTAACCTCCCTAGCCAACACTTCAGGTTACAGTGTAGAGGCTGTAGAAAAATCTGAAGCTACTCCCTAATCACATCTGAAGATACATGTAAACCTCCTGAACTCTTCCCAACCTCACCTGCTTCCAAAAGTGCTGACTAAAATGCAGACCAGCCCTCTATTCCCATAGGACTTATGTTTTTCCTTCTGTTTTTTATTTTTTAACTCAAGATTAGAAAGGTAGATATGAATTAATAGAATATTTTTACAAAAAGAAACTCAAACGACTTTACATACATTTTTAATATTAAGATATCATTGAAAAGTCATTTGGCTTTTAACCATGCTTCTTGTAACTGCTTACTGATATCTTCAAAACTGCAGGTCATGTTTGTATGCCATGTGGACAGAGTCAAAACCAGGACAAGTTATCTCCATTCTTACCCTGTTTTCTCTACATCAATGGTTTCCCAAGAGTGGTCCCCAGAACACAACATTAACATCATCTAGGCACTTGTTAGAGATGCAAATTCTCCTTGTCTACATTACATGTACTAAATCAGAAAGTAATGATAAGACCTGCAATAAATATAAGCCATCCAAGAGAATCTGATACAAAGCAGAATTAAAGAACCTTTGTTCAAAATCAAGACAACTATACTAATTTCACAGAAGTATAGATTTTCATACATGTACATATTTATTTATAATAAATGCATAGATATTTAATATTAGTTGACATGATTTTTTTTTGTAGCATCTAGGATTGAATGTAGAACCTCTTGTTTGCTAGACAAGTGGTCAACCACTTGAGCCATGGTCCCAGTCCTTTTTGCTTTTTGTTGTTTTTCAGATAGGCAAAGTTAGTGTGATTCCCAAAAGGAGATCTGTTGTGGTCCACATGGCTAAGGTTGCAAACAAAATCCATGTCTCTGACATCTATTTCTAAGCCCATATTTCCATCAGTCTACACCTCTTCCACACTGACCAGGCCTCTCTTATTTCCTTTGGGTAAACTTAATGAAGGAAACTTAATGACTCAGTGGGAAAAGATCAAAATATTTTTTTAAAAATCAGTAATATTTTTTACCTACCACCCCAATACAACCTCTGTTAAAAATCTTTTATATCTCCTTACAGTGTTTTCTTTTTGCAGAATGTATATGAAGCACTCGTGTATTTGTGGAATTTCCCACATAGCTATTTCCTTCTTAATATTATATGCAGCCATTTCCAAAAAACTTAATTTTCTCCAAAAATGGAAGTTTTAATGGCTGAGTGGAGTTGCTTCATTGATATGCATTCATCTTTTAGGTAACCAATCCCCTAAATTAGACATTTAGCTTGTTTCCAATATTCTACAATGATAAAGCTGTGGTGATATTTCTAAGCTCAGAATTCTGTACTTATATGATTACTTCTCTACAGCAAATTACGAAGAATAGAAACACTAAGTCAAAAATACAACTATGTTACAACTGGTGTAGTGAGAGCACATTTAAACTCAATCTCAGCACATTTTTCCTATGCTTTCCAATTTGCTTGGCAAAACTTAGCAACTTTGAAGTCACTAATAGTTTTTCATTAACCAAGTTTAAAAGCACTTCAGAGTTTAGTATGTGCTTGGTTTATAACCTGGCAGTACCATTTTCAGAAACTGACCCAAGAGAAAGGAAAATATATGTTTATAAAGACCTGTGACAATCCAGAATGGAAACAACCTAAATGTCCATCAACTCAGAAAGAAGAAAACTGTGGTTCCCATGCTATAGAATATATTTCAGCAATAAAATGCACCAAATATTAGCACATGCCACATCATGGATGAATGGCAAACACTTTATGCTAAGTGAAAGAAGCCAGACACAAGAGTGATGCCATAGATATGATTCCATCGATATGAAATTCTAGAAAACATGAAACTACAGTGACACAAAGGAGGTCAGTGGTTTCCTGTGGCCAAAGGAAAGAAAGGCAAGGGATTTACTGGGAAGAGCTATGAGAATGCTTTTTTAGGGTGTAGAGCTGTATCTGCCAATATATTGTGGCAGTGTTCCCTTAAACTGTAAACCATACCAACACTCACCAAACTCTATACTTAAAATGGATGAATTTTATTATGTATAAATTATAGCTCCATGAAGCTCAGGGGACATTCTGAACTATTTTTGGTCTGGAATATTAATTAAATGGATAATCACAAAAATAGCTATTTAAGATCTACAAAATAAGTAAATATATAAAACTGAAAAAATAGAAACAAGCCAAAAACTAATTTAGAAGTGTGTGGGAATACTAACACATAGTAAGCCATAAAAAAAAAAAAATCAAAACAAGGCTTGGGGATGTAGCTTAGTGGTAGAGCACTTGCCTGGCATGCATGAGGCCCAGGGTTCAATTCCCAGCCTGGCCAAAAGAAGAATATCACAAAGAAAGCAAAAAAAATTTTTTTTAAAGAACTTTTATGATGGTTAAAAAAAAAACTATCTTTCTCTCATTTGTGCTTATTTCCTTACAACTTTTATTTATTTATTTTTTGGTTTGGTGGTACTAGAGTTTGAACTCAGAGCTTCATGCTTCGTAGGCACATGCTCTACCACTTCAGACATGCCTCAGCCCTTTGCTTTTTGTCTTAGTTATTTTTCAGATAGTGTTTTCTTGCCCAGGGCTGACCTTAGACTGCGACCCTCCTACCTAAAGTCTCTTGAGTTGCTAGGATCACAGGTGTATGCCTTCACATCCAGCTCATTGATTGAGATGGGGTCTCAATAACTTATTGCCTGGGCTGGCCTCAAAACACAACCTTCCTGATGTCTATTTCCGAGTACCTGGGATTACAGGTATAAGCCTTAACACCTGGCCGTCCTTACAACTTTTGTGTGTATTCATATGTGTTCTATATGGCTATAATTATAAAATATATGTTAATAAATATTTTTGGTCTTTTCTGGAGCTCAGGATTGAGCCCAGGGTCTCATACATGTTAGGCAAAGAGATCTACCATAGAGATGCATCCCTAGTCTTGTAAGTTTACATTGTAAACATTTCTATATCATTAGTATATCCCTCATGATTAAAATTTAAAGTAGTCATATATCCTTATACAGCTAGAACTGTAGGTGAATTACCAAGTTTCAAAGCAGATGATGCCTCGATGTTGTGATGCCACCAAGTGGGCAAACTATGCAATTAATTTCATGCTTAAAATCAATGAAAAGTTCATTTTATAAGTGCACTAGATCATGACCTTCATATTCTTCTCCCTTCCCTTCTTCTCAATACGTAGACCAGGATGGCAATGAATTTGAGATCCTCCTCCCTTTACTTCCTGAGTGATGGGATTACAGGTGTGAACCACCATGTGTGACTTTCATCTATTTCTTGAACTAATTTAATTCTCAAATCAGAATCTAGAGCCAGCTATCTAGTGAGTTCCAGAGCAGCATGGGCTACACACTGAGACCCTCCCTCAAAAAGGAAGCCAGAACCTGAGGAAATCAGTTAAGGAAAAGAATGTCCCATAGAAATTAAGGACTTTGGAAACTAAAACCTCAGGTGTGAATGAATGGTAGACCTGGGTCTATCTGGAGCCCCATGTCAGAGAACAACTTAGGGACCTCCAAAGCAAATAGCTTTTGCTCTGAGTCAACCAAGCAAGTTGTAACAGAACAAGCAGTACTTGCAAGAAGCACAACAAAGAAACCCTGGTGAAGACAGCCTGGATGGCAGAGGATAGCAGGGAAGCCATTTGCACTTGGACAAGGACTTGCTGTCTCTCTTTAGGATTCATCAGATTTTCTCCCATGGTCCCTCACTTCTCCAGTGTAATCCCTCCTATTATATAAAAACAACAACTTATTGGATTTCTCCCTGCCAGAGTCATCAAAACAATGAATGTCTTGAAATGACCATAAGCTGTTGTTGCCACCAAACAGGTGATCAGCACACACTCCATGCTACCTGGAGCCCAACACTTTTGCCTTTCTCTGGCAATTTTTACCCTCTATTTCTTGGTAATTTAAAGATGACAACCTACATAGACTTTAACAAGGAACTATGCAAATAAACAAACGAGCAAACTCTAGGCAGGCCCTAAAGGAATTCTTAAAGGAAAATCATGAGCCAGTAAAGTGAGAACACATGACAGAAACATAGTCATGGAGACTGAAGCTCAGGAGGCCATTGCCTCTCTGTGGGGAGTTGCAGAGTCCATCTTCTCCTGGCTAAAGTGTGGGTTTTCTCCTCTGCTTGTTTCAACTTCAATTCTACTTCTTAACTGGAAAACCACTCATCAGGTAAAAACTTCCAAAGATACTGAATGGTAAACTGTAAAACGAGTTTCCTTTAAACTGCTTCTGCTGGATGACCAACACCATACTCTGAAGCAGTCATCCATTCCCTGTCAATCCTTTCTGAAATATTTTATGCATAGACTAACATATACATTTAGCTATTCTACACAAATATACATTCTCTCCCACTTACAGTGATGCTTTTTTCACTAAATGATACACTATATCATGGAGTTTATACCACACCAGTACATTCATTTTTAAATTGTATCATATTCTGTGACATGGATGGCCCATAAACATTTAACAATTCACATTTATCTTGTTTCCAACATTGTGATACTTTTATTATCTTCTCACCTAAAATTGTCTGGGCAAATTTGATTGCTTCTTCAAGAGGGTCAGAGTTCACAACTGTATCTAGAATACCCAGCTTGAGTGCTTCACCTGCCAGAATACGTCTTCCTAAAACAAAAGAAACACAGAACAATGTGAGATCAAAGCAGAACATTGCTCTCTAGCATACTGGGAAGGTTGTCTTTCCTGGACATTAACATTTATTATTAAGTAAAATGAATAAGCTCACACTTACTGCTATAGTAGCAAGACCACTGCAGCCATAGACAGAAAACTTGAACTTAACATGCAGCTCAATTTTCATACTTCAAGTGACTGTGGGGAATGGCACCAGGACCACAATTTCCCCCTTGATTAATGGGAATAATCATGCTTACCACAGTAAGCATGTAGCGTGTCTCCATCTGTGAAAGCTGAAAAAGAAGACACTTGTTGCCTCAGTTCCCAGCAATGGGGTGCGGGCCGTGGCCCCACAGTTGCTGAACTGGGTGCTCTGTTGAGGGTTCAGAGTCTGGAGTCAGCGATGCTAGAAGCAGCACAGTTTACTTCTTGCCTCACAGGTGGCAGCATCAAGTCTGGTGGTGGAGATGGTGGAACTGTCAGCCTCCAGTGTTGAGCAGTGGCACTGGAAGCCTCAGTATGGAATGTCACCCCTAATAGGTCACAGAAATTTGATGAGGGTTTGCATCTCTCCAGAATTATCTTGGCACTTCTTCATCCATGGTCAAGATAGAATTTGATGTGCGTGTTCAGAAGTAGGTGTCTTCACCACCCCTTCTGAAAGGGCCGGAAAGAAGGACACAAGGTCATACAGCTTGCATTCTTGCTGGAACCATCCTGTCTTCTGAGAAGTGATCTTCAAATCAGCCTCCATGGCAACAATTCCAGTGTCTGCCACATTCTTTCGGTGTTGGTGGATGACATCCCTGGGACAAAAGATCCAGCCCTTATCTGGGGAGTGCTTCAGAGAACTACAAATGGGGTTTTGTGACCAGAGAGTTATCCAGTGATTTTCCAGTGATTTTCTCTTTGGAAAAGCAATATTTGGGCACTTTTCTGGAACTGCCATTGAAAACAGGTTTCTAGATCTCCTCTTGGAGTGAAGAGAGTGGGGAATGAGTGAGTGGTGTCAGGGATCAAGTTTCCTGTATATGAATGAGTGAGTCAGCCTAGCCAGGTTAAGGGGAACAAGGGGACACAATATGGGTACTAACAGCATGGGCCAACAGTGCAGGGACCTGAGCTACCCACAGTAGGGACTGACTGTTTTTCCAGGAGCAATCGTATCTTCTGGATGGATTTCACACAAAAGGAATAGTGCTATTATTGTTCTTTCAGTGTCGATGACATTCCAGTGCCTTTATTCTGATTCAAAGAACTGAGGACCTAGAGACAGGGCTCTAATGTCCAATCCAAACCCACCTGCTGTGCTTTAACATGTTTTATCTTGGGCCACACTCAGTGCAGATGATAACCCCTATCTAATGGAGCCCTGAGTCAATCACCTACAAGGAGATCTCAAGGCAACTGAGGCAGAGCCTCCCTTCAAACTGGAGAATCTCAGTATTTTCCGATTTTCTTTGTCATTTCTTTTCTAATCTTTGAAAAAGTTTTTTTTCTTCATGGAATCCTTCCCGATTGTCATTTTAAAGTAACTAAAATTATACCTCCTTAAGGACAGGTGTGATTGCAGTGCTAGCATTCTTCTAATTCACGGTGACCTTTTCTATGCAAGTCAAAAATACGTCACATTCTTACTGCTTTTACTTCTTGTCATTATGAGAAAAATAGGGATATTTCCTGAAACAGTGCCCTGGGAAAAAGCCAATCCTAGTTCACTTCATTTCTTTATGTCAAAGAAGCCCATTTTCTTCCTTATTTCCCCAAATATTCTTGCATTTTAAGCCTAAAAAATAGGGTCACAAAATTTCTACATATTCCCCAACATGTTTTAATTTAGATTTATAGTTTCTTTCACAGCATTATAATTTCCTCCTATACTTCACCCTGTCTCATTGTCTTTGAATTCCCGTACTATGTTAGATTGCAAGTATCTTATAAATTCCGACTTAGAAGCTTAAACTAGTTTAGATTCTTTTGGGGACGGCAGAATCGTGGGGTTTGAACTCAGACTGTACATTTGCTAGGCATGGGCTCTACTGCTTAAGCCATACCTCTAGCCATTTTTACTCGGATTATATTGGAGGAGTCTAGCTTTTTCCCAGCTTGACCTGAACTATAATCTTCTATTTTTCCTTTCTTCCCAGCTGGAATGATAAGTATGCCCCACTGTGCCCAGCTTTTTCAGTTGAGATGGAGTCTCACAACCTTTTTATTTTCGTTTTTGCCTGGGCTGGCCTGGAAAGGCAATCTTCCTGATCTCAGCCTCCCAAAAGCTAGGTCCAGCTATGCTTACAGTTACTGAGGCCCAGCTACAGTTTACATTCTTTACAATATTCTAAGTGTACTGCATGGATAAACCTATCTAATTTTCATGACATCACCACATGGAGGATACTATTATTGCCCACATAAATGAGAAATCTAAGGAACAGAAAGATAAAGGGGCTCACCCAATAGCTCACAATTAACTGTCATTGTTAGGTTGAATAGCTGTGTATGTTTCCTTCTCCCAACTTTATCTCAACTGAAATCTCTTCTGGTGTTGCTGGGGATTAAATTCACACTCATTAGAAAAGTGCTCTACCATTGAGCTAGATCCATAGCCCCTTCAAAGTCTTAATGTCTTATAAATACACTTACTTGGTAATCTAGGGTTTAGTGTGACATTGTTCACATTACCCAGCCTGCCACCACCACCTTTTTCTTGTGGTACTGGGGCTTGAACTCAGGGCCTACACCTTGAGACACTCCACCAGCCCTTTTTTTGAAGATAGGGTCTCATGAACTATTTGCCCAGGCTGGCTTCAAAACGTGATCCTCTTGATCTCTGCCTCCTGAGTAGCTAGGATTACAGGCATGAGCCACCAGTACCTGGCTTATGTTCACTCTTAAAAAAGAAAGATTTTCATATGTATCTACTATCTCAATACTTGGGAAATGAGTACTTCAATTATTTCATTTGCCCACTAAAACTTGAAAATTCATCTTGAAAACTGTGGTTTTTAACTCTTACTCATATTAAAAATTTTAAACCAGTTCTGATTTAATGCTCATCATTTGAATACCAGGGTCTACAAATAGTCACTTAAACTTTACAACCCCAAATTTGATTATGCCTTGCACACTTCCCTTTAGAAGGCTCAATTCATGGGATCTTCATGGTAACATTTGAGAAGTTCTCACAGAAGTTACTGTTGCCACTTTAAGATGACAAAATTTGGAGGCAAGTTAAAGAATCCCCTCAAAGTTACATGGATAGTAAGTGGCCAAACCAGGATGTTTCTAGATGCTGGTCCAGTTCTTCACATTTATCTAGACAGTTTCTGGGAAGGTTTACACTGACCTGAGGTGATTAAGTCAAGTGCTGCAGGAATTCCAATGAGTCTGGGGAGAAGCTGGGTTCCTCTTGCTCCAGGAAGGATTCCCAGTGTGACTTCTGGGAAGCCAGTCTCAGTCTGTCAGAGATTGCAGGTAGAAAGGCCATTACAATGACACAATATATGAAGACTTAAGACAAGCATGCCCCAAGATTTCCCACACCCTCAGTGCATTGTTTCATCCAACACAGATAGAGTTTCCACAGGGAAATTATGTGTGCCCTCTTCTTTCATGAACAGAATAAGCAGAGCTCTGGTAGGTGTTCAGCTCAACATCCTAGAGTCTGGAACACTTTCTCTCTGACTCTTATGACCTGTGTCAGACAAACAAAAATAGTCTCTACAAACAGATTCCTGGGTCACTGGAAGACCTAGGAAGCACAAGAAAGTGAAGAGGAAACCCAGAGTATGGACTGCTTGTCAGATTTGATATAGGAGTTGAATCTAGATTACCCAAAGAACTTTTATAACTTAGCAGTAAATGGACAATTAAATTGGACAAAGGATCTGAATAGCCATATCCCCAAAGAAGGAATATAAATGGCCAATAAGAAAAGGTGCTCAGTATCTTTAGCCATCAATGGAAGGTAAGTCTAACCGCATAGATACAATTTCACTCGCACTGGCAAGGATATGATATTTAAAAAGACAGACAGTAACAAGTGCTGGAAAGGATGTCCAGCCACCTTGGAAAACAATTTGGTAGTTTCTCAAAGACTAAACACAGAGTTACTATATGATCCACTAAGGCCACTCCCCAGTATAAACCCAAGAGCAATGAGAACATATGCCCACAAAAATCTTATATGTTTATAAAACCCAAGAAAGAAGAAGAAACATAAATGATAAACAAAATATGGTATATCCATGGAATGGAATCTTATTCAGTCACAGGAATAATGAACTGATTCATGGCACAATGTGGATGAACCTGGAAAACCTTATGCTAAGTGAAAGAGCTAGTCACAGAAGACCACATATTGTATGAATCCATTTATCTGAAATATTGGAAATAGGTAAACCCACTGATATGAACAGTAGACTAGTAGTTGCGTAGGACTGGAGGAGAAGGGAACAGAGGTTTACTGGTAAAGGACACAAAATTTCATTTGAGGTGATGAAATGTTCGAAAATTGACTGGTAGTAATTGTGCATCTATGTGAATACACTACTGTGCCACTGACCATGCACTTTATTTATTTATTTATTTATTTATTTTTTACAAACACTCATTTATTTTCAATCTCAAGTATTATGTACTGTGCATAACTGTGTGCCACACTTTTATGACTTTTTTTTTTCATTTTTCTTTTATTATTCATATGTGCATACAAGGCTTGGTTCATTTCTCCCCCCTGCTCCCACCCCCTCCCTTACCACCCACTCCACCCCCTCTCCCCTCCACCAATACCCAGCAGAAACTATTTTGCCCTTATCTCTAATTTTGTTGTAGAGAGAGTATAAGCAATAATAGGAAGGAACAAGGGTTTTTGCTGGTTGAGATAAGGATAGCTATATACGGCATTGACTCACATTGATTTCCTGTGCATGTGTGTTACCTTCTAGGTTAATTCTTTTTGATCTAACCTTTTCTCTAGTACCTGTTCCCCTTTTCCTATTGGCCTCAGTTGCTTTAAGGTATCTGCTTTAGTTTCTCTGCGTTAAGGGCAACAAATGCTAGCTAGTTTTTTAGGTGTCTTACCTATCCTCACCCCTTGTGTGCTCTCGCTTTTATCATGTGCTCATAGTCCAATCCCCTTGTTGTGTTTGCCCTTGATCTAATGTCCACATATGAGGGAGAACATACGATTTTTGGTCTTTTGGGCCAGGCTAACCTCACTCAGAATGATGTTCTCCAATTCCATCCATTTACCAGCGAATGATAACATTTCGTTCTTCTTCATGGCTGCATAAAATTCCATTGTGTATAGATACCACATTTTCTTAATCCATTCGTCAGTGCTGGGGCATCTTGGTTGTTTCCATAACTTGGCTATTGTGAATAGTGCCGCAATAAACATGGATGTGCAGGTGCCTCTGGAGTAACAGTCTTTTGGGTATATCCCCAAGAGTGGTATTGCTGGATCAAATGGTAGATCGATGTCCAGCTTTTTAAGTAGCCTCCAAATTTTTTTCCAGAGTGGTTGTACTAGTCTACATTCCCACCAACAGTGTAAGAGGGTTCCTTTTTCCCTGCATCCTTGCCAACACCTGTTGTTGGTAACCATGCACTTTAAATAGGCAAATTATATAGTAGGTGTTTTATATCTCAATAAATCACATGCACACACACACACACACACACACACACACACACACACACACCAGGCAGCAACCTCAGTCCCTAATAAGACAGTGAGCTTGAATCTTTACCACATTGCCTTTCCTGCCCACTAAAACTGGCTGAAGCTCTGTCTGTCGTATAGTCACAAGGGGAGAAGGAAGAGGCTACTAAATGCAGACTGCCATGTACCCAGATTGTTAACCAACATCTTCCACGTACCTTGCCCATTTGAAGATTTTTACAGGAGTCAATAGCCATCTGTCCTACACTGATCACCCAAACCCCTGACTTACTGCTGATAACTCAGATCTTTACCCACTCTGTACAAGGTCATGGTGAGGACACAGAAAAGATGCAGCTTGGAGATGTGCATGTATGTAAGTAGGAGTGTGTGTGTGTGTGTGTGTGTGTGTGTGTGTCTTCATGAACTTTTACAAAAATCTAAAAATTGGAAGGAAATAATTAAATGGGAACAGGTTGACTAACCTTTATCTGAAATTCATGACATCAGAAGTGGTTGCAATTTTGGATTTTGTTCAGATTTTAGAATACTTACATACATATAATGAGATTATCTGGGGGATGGGACCCAAGTCTAAAGACAGCATTCATTTACGTTCCATATACACCTTACACCCAGACTCGGGAGGTAATTTATACAATATTTTGAGTATGCCTGCCTTTCAACTTTTCAGATGAGTCAGGTTTGGAATTTATCTCTTGTGTCACCATGTCTACAGTTAAACAGTTTTGGATTTGGGGGGGGATGTGGCTCAAGTGGTAGAGCACCTGCTTAGCAAGTGCAAGCCCTGAGTTTAAACCCCACTCGGTACCACCAAAATTCTTTTTAAAGTTTTGGATTCTGAATGTTTAGATTAGGGATTGTAACTATGTATCTGTACAATGGAAAATCAGGTAGCTTTTTAAAATTATATTTTAGGCCAGGCAAAGTGGCTCACACCTGTAATCCCAGCTACTTGGGAGGTGGAGATAGAAGGATCGTGGTTTGAGGCCAGCTCAGGCAAAAAGTCAGTGAGACTCCCATCTCAACCAACAAGCTGGGTGTGGTGGTACACATCCATAATTAGAGGCTGGCCTGGGAAAAACCAAAGCCTCTACCTGAAAAAACAAGTAAAAGCAAAAAGGGCTAGGGCATGGCTCAAGTAATAGAGGGACTGCTTAGCAAGCACCATGCCCTGAGTTCAAACCCCAGTATGGCCAAAAAATAAAGCTATTTCAAAAGATGTTTACAATAAGGTTAACAAAAGTTCTCCTCAGAAACCATGGAAGCTGGAGCCATGGAGTGACACAAAGTGTCAAAAGCAAAAAGCATGTCAACCAGGAATTCTGTGTCCAGGAAATGTATCCTTTGAAAAGGAAGGCAAAACCAACACATTTCCAGATAAACAAAACCCGAATTTGTTGCTAGCAGATCTGCCTTACAAGAAATCCTTCAGGCTAAAAGGAAAGGACATTGGACCTTAACTTGAATTCACATGAAGAAATAAGGTATTTGGGTGAAGGATAAACATGTAGATGAATGTAAAAAACAGTCCTAATTTATGTTTTTGTTTGTGATTCCTCTTTTTCTTATTTCATTTAAAGAGTAATACAAAAAGCAGTAAGTATAAATCAATGCTGAGGGCCACACAATATGTAAAGATATAATTTCTGTCCATAACCACATAAAGAGGCAGCTAACAGAGACACAGGGGAGACATATTCGTATACTATTGAAATTAACTCAGTACTAATCTGAGCCAGATTTTTATAATTTAAGATATTAAACAATCACCAAGGCCACGGCCACCAAGCAAATAACTAAAAAATACATAGTAAAAGAAACTACAAGAGAATTAGAAAATATATCTACTTAACACAAATGAAAGCTGTACTGGAGGAACTGAGGAATAAACACATAAAACACAGAACAAAGAACAAAATGGCAGAACTCAGTTTTCTTTTTCAATGAGTATTACATGTGCAAATGTATACTAAACTGTCCAATTAAAAGGCAGAGATGCACAGGAAAGAATACTTCCAAACAGAATAAATGTTTAAACAGCAGTATAAACTAAATAAAATCCCAGATGTTGCTTAACAAAAACAGATGGCAAAGAAAAAAACAATTGTAAGGAACAAATAACGTAAGACAACGACCAGAAGAAAACAGAATGCAGCTCCCCTTTAGTTAGTGGGTCACTGGGAGACCACAGGTCTAAGCCTAAGGGAAGCAGAGGCAGAGAGCTTATGGTAGTCCCCAGAGAGCAACCAGAATGCAGGAATTTCAGCATCTGAATAATCACTGAGCTAGTACATGACAGCAGAGTGCCAGTGTTGGACAAACCTCAGGCTTCCTGACCAGCAAACTACCATTTGAAATGATCACCTCTGCTGCTTCTGACCACATTTAGAATTTGTCAGAAAGAAAAGCCCCTCCACCCCCGCAGGAAGCCTCAGAGGTTACCTGTGCATGGGCAATCCTATAGTGAGAGCCCAAGGCCAGCTCTAGTCCCCCTCCGAAAGCCATGCCTTCAATAGCTGCCACCACGGGCTTCTTATTTCTCTGCATTTCATCTACTAAATCTCCCAGTCTAGTGCCAGACGACTGAGGAGTGCTGAAGCCATGGATATCAGCACCTAAAAAACACAAACACAAGAACAGAGAGTTCAGAAGAACTTCGTTATTAACACAAAGGAGCCTATCACTCTTAAGAGGGCTCAGACCCCTTAGGACGGGGAGAGACAAGCAAAGAACAAGTAGCCTGGGAAATGTAGAATAAAATGTGAGACAAACTTCAAATTTTTACCAGGAATCCTATAACCTTCTAAGATCTCAGTTTCCATAAGCTAGGCAGCAACTCTAACTTTAGGGAAATTTCAAAGCTCAGAGAAGGGGGAATAGAGGTTCTCTGACCAAGATCATCATTCTGAGATTGAGTTAAGCCCTTCATTTTGGGGGTAACACTGTTCATCAATCCTCCTTTTTTTAATTTTTTGCTCATCAACCGTCTTAACAGTTATGTAGCCCCATCTCTCTCTCTTTTTTTTCTTTTATAAAAACACCTTCATTTTGCTTAAAAAGGGCAGTCAATACCCATATCTCTCTTAAGAGCATGAGTTATGGTAATGTAAAATGCATATGTATTTGTGAGTTATATGTGAATTAGTCAGCTGAGAATTATACTATGGTAGATTTTCTATGAGTAATAAAATTAATAAAATTTCTTGCTTTTCCTGATTATAAAAATAACACAGACAGGCACTATTAAAAATTTGAAACAGGAAGAGAATTATAAAAAAAACCACAAGGATCACCCTAAATATTACCACTCAGAGATGATAATTTAAGATTTTAGTAAATTCTTGGTTTCCCCAGGTGTATATGAAAATGGCTTTGTGACCTTGAGTAAGTTATCTTTTGTTTCAATACCTATCTTAAGTGACTGATTTGAGAATTAGATGAGAGTTTTATATTTTTTTTAACATTGACAACATTCTGTAAAATCTGTTATTTTTCTGTTTCATGTGACATTTATATAGTGAGCATTTTCCTGTATCTATTGTTTAAAAAACAAATTTTGTACAAGTTTAAAAAAGTAATTATTTTACATTCAGCCCATTAACCTATTTCTCTTTTTCTTTTCACCACTTGCTCCACCTGTGGTATCGATCTGAGAATTACCCTTTTTTTTTCACCAATCCACCATATTTGACTCTCTAGTCCAGTGTTTGGTTTGTTGTTTCCAAGACCGAGGTTTTCTTTTTTTTTTTTTTTTTATTTTGTCATTTTTTTTTTTTTATTCATATGTGCATACAAGCTTGGTCATTTCTCCCCCTGCCCCACCCCCTCCCTTACCACCCACTCCACCCCTCCCGCTCCCCCCCCCCTCAATACCCAGCAGAAACTATTTTGCCCTTATTTCTAATTTTGTTGTAGAGAGAGTATAAGCAATAATAGGAAGGAACAAGGGTTTTGCTGGTTGAGATAAGGATAGCTATACAGGGAGTTGACTCACATTGATTTCCTGTGCGTGTGTTACCTTCTAGGTTAATTCTTTTTGATCTAACCTTTTCTCTAGTTCCTGGTCCCTTTTCCTATTGGCCTCAGTTGCTTTAAGGTATCTGCTTTAGTTTCTCTGCGTTAAGGGCAACAAATGCTAGCTAATTTTTTAGGTGTCTTACCTATCCTCACCCCTCCCTTGTGTGCTCTCGCTTTTATCATGTGCTCAAAGTCCAATCCATTGTTGTGTTTGCCCTTGATCTAATGTCCACATATGAGGGAGAACATACGATTTTTGGTCTTTTGGGCCAGGCTAACCTCACTCAGAATGATGTTCTCCAATTCCATCCATTTACCAGCGAATGATAACATTTCGTTCTTCTTCATGGCTGCATAAAATTCCATTGTGTATAGATACCACATTTTCTTAATCCATTCGTCAGTGGTGGGGCATCTTGGCTGTTTCCATAACTTGGCTATTGTGAATAGTGCCAATAAACATGGGTGTGCAGGTGCCTCTGGAGTAACCTGTGTCACAGTCTTTTGGGTATATCCCCAAGAGTGGTATTGCTGGATCAAATGGTAGATCAATGTTAGCTTTTTAAGTAGCCTCCAAATTTTTTTCCAGAGTGGTTGTACTAGTTTACATTCCCACCAACAGTGTAAGAGGGTTCCTTTTTCCCCGCATCCTCGCCAACACCTGTTGTTGTGGTGTTGCTAATGATGGCTATTCTAACAGGGGTGAGGTGGAATCTTAGTGTGGTTTTAATTTGCATTTCCTTTATTGCTAGAGATGGTGAGCATTTTTTCATGTGTTTTTGGCCATTTGAATTTCTTCTTTTGAGAAAGTTCTGTTTAGTTCACTTGCCCATTTCTTTATTGGTTCATTAGTTTTGGGAGAATTTAGTTTTTTAAGTTCCCTATATATTCTGGTTATCAGTCCTTTGTCTGATGTATAGCTGGCAAATATTTTCTCCCACTCTGTGGGTGTTCTTTCAGTTTAGAGACCATTTCTTTTGATGAACAGAAGCTTTTTAGTTTATGAGGTCCCATTTATCTATGCTATTCTCTTAGTTGCTGTGCTGCTGGGGTTTCATTGAGAAAGTTCTTACTATACCTACTAACTCCAGAGTATTTCCTACTCTTTCTTGTATCAACTTAAGAGTTTGGGTCTGATATTAAGATCCTTGATCCATTTTGAGTTAATTTGTATAGGTGATATACATGGATCTAGTTTCAGTTTTTTGCAGACTGCTAACCAGTTTTCCCAGCAGTTTTTGTTGAAGAGGCTGCTATTTCTCCATCATATTTTTAGCTCCTTTGTCAAAGACAAGTTGGTTATAGTTGTGTGGCTTCATATCTGGGTCCTCTATTCTGTTCCACTGGTCTTCATGTCTGTTTTTGTGCCAGTACCATGCTGTTTTTATTGTTATTGCTTTGTGTAAATAGTTTGAAGTCAGGTATTGTGATACCTCCTGCATTGTTCTTTTGACTGAGTATTGCCTTGGCTATTCGTGGCCTCTTGTGTTTCCATATAAATTTCAGTAGATTTTCAATCTCTTTAATGAATGTCATTGGAATTTTGATGGGAATTGCATTAAACATGTAGATTACTTTTGGAGTATCGACCATTTTACTATGTTGATTCTACCAATCCATGAGCATGGGAGATCTCTCCACTTTCTATAGTCTTCCTCAATCTCTTTCTTCAGAAGTTTATAGTTTCCTTGTAGAGGTCTTTCACATCTTTTGTTAGGTTTTCACCTAGGTATTTGTTTTTTTGAGCTATTGTAAATGGTATTGTTTTCATACATTCTTTTTCAGTTTGCTCATTGTTAGTGTACTAGAAATTGTAATGATTTTCTATGTTGATTTTTATATCCTGCTACCTCCTTCGCTATATGCTATTGATGATCTAGCAGCTTCTGAGTAGAGTTTTGGTCTTTAAGGTATAGGATCAACGTATCTGCAGAATAGAGTATTTTGACAGTTTTCTTACCTATTTGTATTCCTTTTATTCTTCTTCTTCCTAATTGCTCTGCTGGCATTTCCAGTACTATGTTGAATAGGAGTGGAGATAGTGGGCATCCTTGCTGTTCCTGATTTTAGGAGGGTAATTGGTTTCAGCTTTTTCTCCATTAAGTAAAAAATGCTGGCTGTCAGGTTTGTTCTGTATATATGCTTTTTATAATGTTGAGGGTTACTTTCCTTTAATTCTAGTTTTTCTTAGCTTTTTTTATCATCTGAAATGGTGTTGGAATTTTCTATCAAAGGGCTTTCTTCTGCATCTATTGAGATTGATTATCCAACAGAGTTATTTATTTATTTGTTTTTTGAGACAAGGTCTTGCTTTATAGGCTGACCTACTCAAACTCCAAAATCTTGCATCTGTCTCTCAAGTGTTCAGATGACCTGGAATAAAAGATGTGTGACCCATGCCAGCTCCAATATAAGTCCAACTCTTAACTGCTTTAAACTGTAGCTTCTACATATCACACATGTTAGTCATGTTAGTTCAATTTGATAGAACAAGGCACATGACAAGAATACAGTTTATTTTAGGTTTTGGGGTTCTGTTTTGTTTTTTTTTTTGAGACACGGGCAATGGTATTCAGTAGATTGGCTTGGACTTCTTCTTTCTTTTCTTTGTCTTTCTTTTTCCTTTTTTTTTGGGGGGGGTGGGACTGAATTTTGAAACTTGCTAGGTTAGATTACCGCTTGGACCATGCTCCAGCCCTGGCTTGAATTTTGATCCTCTCCTCCACTCCTGATGCTGGGTTTCAGGAATAACTACCAAGACACCTGATAATTGATTTCAATTTTTATGGATTTCAACCAATATAGAAATATAATAAATTTTGGTATTGAATTCCTATATCAACTAAGCTTGCTAGAATCTCTTATGAATGCTAACAAATTCTTTGATTATTTTCTTTCCCTCAACAACATGATCATCTCTTCTTTTAAATCCTTATACAGTTAAACTTCTTTTCTAGCTTCCTGGGATGTTTAGGTGATTTCAATTTTTAATGATTTCAACATATAGAAATATAATCAAATTTTGGATATTGATTCTATATCAACTAAAGTTGCTAGAATCTCTTATGAATGCTAACAAATTTTTGATTATTTTGCTTTCTCAACAAACATGATCATATCTCTTCTTTTATAATCCTTATACAGTTAACTTCCTTTTCTAGCTTCCTGGGATGTTTAGGGCCTCAAATACAATGTGAAATAGAAATGGCAAGGGCAGTCATTCCTCCCTTCTTTCTTTCTCATAAGGAAATCTTTCAGTTTACCATTTGTTTGATGTTAAAAGTTATAGACTTTTAAAAAAAATCAGTATGTTTAGGTTGACTAAAACATTTCTGTCCTAAAACTAGTTTACTAAGAACTTCTACCTTAAATGCAAGTCAAATATTACAGAACGTTTTATTCCTGCATTTTTTGAAAAAATCATGTTTGTTTGTATAATCTTTTATTAGATGAATTAACATCAAATACTTGAAGCAATTGGATATTTCTAGGACAAAAGTGACATATGTTTATATAAAAATCAGGTTTCGCTGGTAGAATTTACAGTTAGGATTTTTACAATGTTTGATGAAGTGGAACTTGGCCTTTTAATTTTGTTTTTATTTACTGACCTTGTAGGTATGGTATCAAGCTTATGCTTAGCTCTCAAAATGAGCTTGAGAGGTTGTTACTGGTTGGAGTGCGTTAACCCAGGGCCTATGATGTTGATCTTCTTTGAAAACAGTCTTTGCAGATGTTTACTGAGTTTAGGAAGAGGTCATTAGGCGATTTACAGTGTGGCCTATATAGAGCAGGAAATTGGTATGGACCTATGAGAAAAGGCCATTAAAGACAGAAGCAGAGAACTAGAGTGAGTACTAATAAGCCAAGGATTTCAGTGGCACAAGAAGCCAGAGAGCGGCAAGGAAGAAGTTCTTCCCCAAAGCCTTTGGGAGGAAGAGGGGTCCTGCTTGATATCTTGATTACAAACTTCTGCCTCCAGAATGCGAGACAATAAATTCTGTTGTTTGAAACACTCAGTTTGTAGAAATTTTTATGGATGCCCTGGAAACTAATTATAAGCAAGAATTTCTCTTTTCGCTTTCTGTTTTTGTTGCTTGCTTTTGGTTTGATTTGTCCAGATGGGTTCACTATGTTAGCTCAGGGTGGATGGGAACTCAGTCAATCTTCCGAGCTTTGTTCTTCATACAACGCTCCCCACAGGTTCCCTCCTTTCAACCCTGAAAATGTTTTTAAATTAGAATAATATTTTCTTGACTTTTAACAGTTAGTGCTTTGCCAATGAAGGCATTTAGGTTTGGAATTAACTTTGTGAGGTTTTTGATCCATGTCTTTAATGGTTAGAGAACTGTTTGGATTTGGTGGGGGAGGGGGGTTATTTCTCCTGGTGTTACTGAGGATAGGCTACATTTGTCTCTGTATTCACTACTTTAGTTAATTCTGCCATATTTATGCATCTTCACAAAAGGATCCAGTATGGTAGGGCTATGACCAATGAGGTTGGTGCCCCTCAGAAGGAAAACTAACTCCATTTACAGACTTAATCCTTACTGAACACATTCCATGTGCAGACACTGAATAAGGGTACTCAGGTAAGGTATCTCCTTTAATCTCACAAAAATCTCTTAAGATGAGTATTACTATCACTACTTTACAAGCAGAGAAACTGTGGTTAAGAGGTCAACTGAACATCATACAGGGTGTAAGAGACATGGAGAGTGGGGATGTGTGAACAGTATCAAAGTCATCAAGCCTAGCACCAATCGTCCTCTAGAGTCAAAGAGATTTTGGTTGTGTCTTGGAGAGACTGTCCCTTCACTACAGTGTTGCTCATTCCCACTTAGTGTCCCTATCCCTTACCTGCACTAAGTCTCACCCACAGGGACAGCAGTATTGAGTGCAGTCTGTGCTTGTATTCAGAGACAGTGTGAGAGAGGGTTAGACACTACTTACCTGCACAGAATTGCCATCTGCTCCAGAAATCACAAATGGCTTTACTGATGGTCTGATACAGCTTTCTGTAGTCTTCTTTTATTTCCATAGAGGGACGCTGGACTAAAGGGAAAAAAATTACATGAAGCAAATTAGTCAAATTTAATTTTCTACTATCTCAGAATTTTTTCTTTCTAATAATGAAAAGTTAAATACCCAAATGAACAAAAAAACTATAGATACTTTACCATTAATCTTTAACTATTTGTTCAACAAATAATATGTGTCTACTAGCAATTAAACTCTGACCTGCTTAAATAAATCCAGTTTTTAAAACGTATTATTGTTGTTACACTCTAACCAATTTAAAAATATTATTATACATCTTCTACGTATAGTTTCAAGGAGTAGTTACTGAAGTGTACACAACTATTACGTTAGTCCTCTGTGAATACTTGTAATAAAGGTAGCAAAAAGAGTGATGTAGAAATTCAAGGGAGAAAGTTACATTCAATTGTCATATGGCAAAACAGGGAAAAATAAAAGAGAAACAGTCAAAGCAATTCAGGCGCTGCTGGTTATCGCAAGATCCATTCCTCTCCACCATCTCAAAGAATTTAGACGTCTAGTTTATAAGCTGGTACATGGCAAACCAAAATAAAGACTTGCATTTTTCCAGCCTGCTTTACAGTAAGTCTTCCCAGCACACAGCTCTCCACCAACAGGATGGGAAGCATTATTTGCATATGCAACTTTGGAAGAAGAGTCCTTAAAAGACTGGTCTGATTCCTTTTCCTTTGCTCACTCCTGGAAGAATGCAATAGGATAGCATTCTATCCTATTCTTGGACCAAGAGTCGAAGCCAAAGGTAAAGTCAAGACTGGTGAGTCTACCAAAGGAATAGAAATATGAGCTGAGGGCAGCATTCTCTGGATATCTTCATTTAAGAACTAAATGGGCTCAACCAAAATGATTCCAGTGCCAAGGGAAGCCCAAGACACAAAGACCAAGAGAAGAGATTATTGCAAAGAAGAAGGAATTAATAAGACAAAGATTGCCAAAGGAAACCATAGAATGTCAGTGAGGAAATGTGCAAAGGAAAAATGATAGACATAGACTCCAATACTGAATTTCTCCAAAAAAGACTAGTTCCTTAGCATAAAGGGTAAAAAAAAAAATTAAAACACCTCAACAAAACAACAAACAAACTTCTATAAAGGCCATATCAGGAAGCCCACCCAATAATGAGTTCAAAACTTCAAGGATAAAAGAGACATCCCCTTGTGTACAAAAATTACTTTCCTCTAGTTACTTTTCACCTTAAACCTAGAGGAAATAAACAAAACCTCTGTCAGCTGGTTAATTAGAAACTGAATCTGATCATGAAAACAGATTATGGGTCATCACACAGTACTGAGAATCCAAAAGTCACGCACAGTTCATCTCTCATACCTGTGGAAAACTGATCCCAAAACTGATATCCCCCCAGAATACCAAAATCCTGAAGCCCAAATTGCTTAATCGAAATAATATATTATTCCATAATACCTACACATCTTCATCTCTAAATTTCTTAAAACCCCTATAAACATAAATAGATGGTATAGCCTATTATTTGGGGAATAATGACAAGAAATAAAAAGACTCTGCATGGTCATTAGAGATTCAAGCAAAGCACCCTACTATTTATAACTACATTTCCTATCCATATTTAGCCAGCTATATTTCCTTCTGGGTAAAGAAAAGCTATAAAAATAGCTCAATTGGTGCCACTAAGGAGAATACATAGGCTTTTCCAATTCCAACCATCCCTTCCTGTTTTACTTATGTTCTTAGTTCTGAAGTACTCATAAACAGGAAAGAGAAAAAGGAAAGCGGCTGTACCCAACACAGCTTTACCAGGTTCAACTGATGGAGCAGAATCTCGGCTTCACAGCAAGGCAAACTCTACTGGGGTTGAGAAAGCACTTCCTCCCTTATTACTATGAGGTGTGGAGAATGGAGTCTAGGGTGAAGACAACATTTGATGACTGCGGAACAGAAGACTTCAGGTTCTTTGACCATAGCAGACCTTTTCTCTTGGACATTATTTGGTGATGGTTTTAGTGTTTTAAATGAGAGTTCATCATCAAGTTTGTGGCTTTGGTCTGGCATATTTCCAAACAAGATATAAAAGATAAGAGAAAATAGAATATGTCAAACTATTTAGCATGGAAGGATAAGTTTGGTTTCAGGAAATTTTGTTTTTTGTTATGCATATGTATGTGTCTTAGGTTATTATATAAAACATTAGGTTTCTTACTATGTGGACTGCAGTAAAAAAAAATGTGAAAGTCATTGCTCAGGGAGACAGGCCTAGTAATCAGCCATTTTCTACACTTATAAAGAGGGTCAATAGTCATGTGAATGGGACGAAACATGGTTGGCTAAACTAACAATGAAGGACTTAAAATATTTGGGAAAAATAAATTATTCAAATAACAATCTCTCAGTGAGTTCAGAAGAGATAATTTCCCACATAAAATTAGAAATAAGAAGGAAAGCCAGGTGCTGGAGGACCATGCACGTAATTCTAGCTACTTGAGAGTTTGAGATTGGGAGGATCACAGTTCAAGACCAGGCAAATATTTCATGAGACTCCATCTCCAAAAATAAGCAGAGAAAAATGGCCTGGAGGTGTGGATCAAGCATTAGAGTGCCTGCTTGCATTAGAGTGCAAGCATAAAGCCCTGAGTTCAAACCCAGCCCCACCAGGAAGGAAGGAAGGAAAGAAGAAAGGATGGATGGAAGGAAGAAAGACAAGAGGGGAAAAATCTTAAAACAAACTTTTATAAAAGCCGTACTGTCAAGATGAACAATGCTGAGTCAAAACCTGAGAGAAGAAAGGAGATACCTGCCCTTATGCATGATAGTTACCTTTTACCGCATTACTTTTCACCTTTTAATCTAGAGGAAATCAAACAAAACCTCTGAGTCTAGGGTGAAGACAACATTTGATGATGTTCCTCCCTCCTCCCCCTGCCCCAGGTTGCCAAAATCCTCTGTGTTCAAGTCTGTTATATAAAATAGCATGATATTTGCATATAACCTATGCATATCATCATCTACAGGACACCCCCTAAAATGGAAAAACTATTTTAATAGTTATTATACTGCATTGTTCAGGAAATAATGACAAGAAGGAAAAAGAAGACTATGTACTTTCATTAGGGATTCAAGCTTCCTGGGCTTAGCTAACACTTAACGTCTATGGTTGAATGAATGGCGGGTGTGGAACCTGTGACATGCGCAGGCAGTTGAAGTTCCTTCTGTGTAAGGACAGGCTCAACAGGCACAATCAGAGCCACTCAGGAAAAGAGACTGGCTTTTCCCATTCCAACCAACTCCTCTTCTTTTATTTATGTTGTTGGAAATTTTTGAAAAACTCATAAGGAGGAAAAACAAGAAATGGATAATGGTGGTAGTAGATACAGCTTTGCCAGATTCAGCTAATGGAGAGGGACCATGGCCTTACAATAAGGCAAAGGTCACAGGGGCCAAGAAAGTATTTCCTCTCCTTAACACTGCAAGGTATGAAGAATGGAGTCTGGGAGAGGATGACCTTTCATGAGTGGACCACAGGCTTCAGCCTCTTTGGCCATATCAGGCCTTTTGTTTCAATAGATTTTTTCTTTTCAACCAAAGTTCATCAGATCAACTCTGGAGCTTTTGACTAGCATTTTCTCAAATGGAGAAATAGAGAAAATAAAGCATGCCAAACTAACCTTCAGATAGGTTTGGTTTCACTAAACTTAGTTTTCAGTAATACGTTTGTATGTATATGTATCTTCAGCTGTGATGTAGTTTCACACTACATGGATTACAGTTTAAAAGTAGTGTGAAAGCCATTGTTTTGGGAGACAGGTCTAGTAATCAGCCATTCTTCCACTTACAAACAAGGTTGCCATTCACCTTCAATGGAGGCAAAGGTAAAACTAGCAATGAAGCACTTAATCTATTAGTTTGGAAAAACTAAAAACTACTCAAATATGTATATCTCATTGAGCTAGGAAGAAATAACTTCCCACCTAAAGTTAGGAATAGGAAAGGGAAAAGAAAGGAAATAAAGTATTTTAAAGATTTGGGGAATTTGTTACACTTGAAGACCAAGTGAATTTCTGTTCCTTAGTGTATAGGGGAAAGCATCTTAAATAATGGCAAACTTCTATAATGCCCATGTTGTTAAGACTAGCAACTGTGAGTCAAAACCTTGGGGAAGAAAGGGGATAGCTACACTAGTGTACGACAGTTACTTTTCACCTACTTACATTTCACCTCTTAACCTACAAAAAAAATCACACAAACCCTCCTGCTTTCAACTGGTTAATTAGAAATCAAATCTGATGATGAGAAAAAATTGTGAACATTACATAACACTGAGAAGTTCAAATGGCACATCTTTTCTACAAAACGGCCCCAAATTATCTTAACCAGTGTCACTTGGGAGAAGAGACTGGTTTTGCTTATTCCAACCAACCTCCGCTCTTTCATTTACGTTCTTAATTTTAAAAATCTCAAAAGCAGGAAAAAAAGAAAATGAAACCGAACATAATAAATACAGTTTTACTAGACTCAGCTGATGCTGATGGAGGGAGTACCACATGCTTGCGGGCAAGGTTAAGGCCACAGGGGACAAGAAAAATACTTCCTCCCTTCCCAGTGCCATGTTACAGAACGGAGTCAGGGGAGACCACTCCCATGAGTGCTGACCTCAAGGCTTCAGCTCCTTCACCATAGCAGGCTTTTCCTTTTGGATACTATTATTAGTAATATTGCTATTATGCTAAAGCTTATTTTTCAAAGAAATAGAGAAAACAGAACCAACTTTATGACATATAAAGATAGGATTTTTAGAAATTATTAATATTTGCATATATTAATTGTACAAAGTGAGGTGTTTCACTGTGATACTTCCTTATATGTATATAATGTACTTTGATCATATTCCCACCTCTTGTGTTTCTTTTTCTAATCCCCCTTCCCACCAACCCCCTCGTACCTTTTTTTTTTAACTTTCTTGGTCACTGTTTTCCACAGGTTTTGTTGTGACCTTTTCATACACATACGGTGTACTTCGATCATGC